TGTTGGACTCTGAGTATACATTTAACCATTTACAAGCAATAAAGACTGATGGGAAACTACATTTCTGACAGAATTACTAAGACTCAAATAATGACTGAAGTGATTTGCACAGATAATTAATTATTCATTTTTTGTTGTGCACTTTACAGTAATAAATGACACAGACTATTAACCAAATTTGCTTGAGAGGCTACAGCAAATCATACCATGTGATTACTCAATTCTTGTATATAAAAATCACTTTTAAAGTACCCATTATCAGTCCTGATGAAAAAAAGGGGTTTTCTATTTAAAAATACTTTGTCAGTTTATGAAAATTGCTTTCTATCTTCTTGTTACCAAGAACATACCTAATGCCAGTTGTAGGACTTGAAAACTTTGTCATTGACTGGTTTCAAGGAGCTGTGTGAAATGTGAGTTATTAGTTACCATTAAGGTTAAAATTTTGATTTTAAAATCATTTGGAATTAAGATTGTGAGCCAGAGAGACTTCAGAAATTAAAAAATTAATTATTCAGAACTGTTATTCTCACATTTTGAAACAAATTACTGTTTCTGTACCAGTAATGCTAGAGAGCTACAAAGAATCTTAGCACTTGATGTGCTGCTTCAAATTACATAGAGATTTTTAGAAGTATTTAATACCTACAACACATTTCTTAAATAATTATTTTAAAGACATTTGCATTATGTTTAGTACAGAAAATTCAAACAATCTTCCAGATAGATCTCCAACTACTAACAAACATTCTCCAATCAAATTCAATTGAGTTGCCCTAGAATAAGATTTATTTGAGAGGTAGCATACAAATTCATTCCATTTGATTGGAATTCTTCCTCTATGAGCTTTAACTGTTCCAAATTTCAGCATTTTCCAGAAGGTTCTGGAATTCTGATGTTTCCTCTGAAAACACAACTGTTACTATTCTCACAGCAGTGAACATGCCAGCACAAGAAAAGAGGAACTTTTACTGATCTGAAAAACATCTCTTATACTGTACCAAGTAATAAAAGACTTTGACAAAATGTTTTAGCAAAGCATTTTTGTGGAACTGGTGCTGTTCTGGAATTTAAGTAATTTATCAAGGTAAATAGTTGTATAGACCTGGAATTAATTATGAACATAAAGTTACAAATCTAAGTGCTTAGTCAAAGTGTACAATAACAAGAAGGATTTAAATCTGAAACAGCATTACTAGCAGGATCCATGTCACATACCTCAGCAATATGAAAAAAAGGTGACATGTCCATGCTAAATTTTCAGACTTCCTTTCTAGTCAATGGAAAGGAGTGGGTATCTTTGGAAATTAATTCATGTAACCCTGAAACAGATTTCAGAGGAAAGACACTTGCCTTCTGAAGGTGTATTTCACTAAATAGGAAAATCTGAACTTAAACTGTGATTAAAGGTAATTGTATAGAGTCCACTAAATTCTTCAATATTAATTGCATGTTTCATGTCAGAACTTAACCTCCTCAGGAACCATTTACTTCTTTTCACCTCCTTCAACAGGCATTTATTAATGGTTTACTGTTTTATCTGACTAAAAAATTAGCTCAATCCCTATTTCAAAGTTAAACAAAAGGGAAAACTTCACAAGTCTGTACCTACTTAAGAAATATCATGCATTGATAAAGGCTCTTTACAGTTTAAATTCAAAATCCTGCCCCCTCTATTTCCAGAGCAGTGGATTTTATGTGATATATGATGTATTAATTACAGTTTAGATCAATTATATTAATCTATAACAATACTAATTATAGCTACAGATTAGTTACAAATTCTATATTACACACCATATGTTAGCAAAAGAAATATATTGTGAGCTTAATGTTTAAAATAATTGGTTTTCTAAGATTTGCTAAGGAATGAGAAGTTGTGTAGAAGACTGCTAATCCAGTCGAATGTCTTGACCACAAGATGATTGTAAAAAATTTCGTCATGATTTTCAATTGCTGGAAAACTCTAAATTTAAAAAAAAAATCAAGTTCAAACTTTGTCATGAAAATCTGCATTCTTTCAGCTTCACTCTTGATGCAAGAGTATGCAGATCTTCTGGAAATGTTTGTCTTTTTTTTTGCATGTGTGTGAGGTAAATTGAATATTTCTCTGTGCTTGTTAACACCAGAATAATTTAATTTCCTTTTATTTTTAGTGTATTTCATTCTACTAGGGACCTCATAGTACCTGCTATTGTCAAAGTTGTTGAGAGAACTAAAAGAATGGATTTAATCAGTTGTGATTTTCACTTCAGCATTACTTGGTGTGGTGTTCTTAAGAATTCTAGAAGACATTATTACTATTAGCACTACAGTTAAAAAATGGTGGAAATACAACACAAGTTAAACAGAAGATCTGTACATGAGGACATAATTTTCCAGGTCTGTGCCACTTGCATCAGATCCCAAGTGAGCTCATGGTATCTGTTTGAATACAAAATTTCATTTTGCAAATATGTATAAAGTGTCCTTTACCCAGCTCCAAACTGATTTTTTGGAACTTTCTATGTTAAACAGGATTTGCAGCTTGGGCCTGTTAGCATAGGCATGACTGGACAATTTTGCCTCTGGACACTTATAATTTCTAATCCCTTTTCATAGTGTGGTATGAAGATGTTATGAATTAAAGACCAGGATATGATGTTGAAGACTGATTCATCAGCAAAGATGGCTTGCCTTGGGGTGGTTGGAATAATTTCCTCTGCTCTTGATCTTGCACTTCTCTGAGCATTTCCCTTGCCTGCCCAGGGGGGACAGCTCTGCTACCTGTGAAGCAGCAGCAGTTCTCGAACTGCTAGTTGATAGATCAGTACATTAAAATAAATTGATACCAGTTCTTGTTTAGTTTAGAGCTGTAGTCCCTGCAGCTGTGAAAACCTGTGGCTGTAAAAGCAACTCAGCCCTCCCTAAGCAACCAGTGGGTAAAAGGAGGGTGGATAGCCACACTGAAAATCAAGGCAGCTGTCCAAAGTTAAACCATCCCTGCTTGTGAATCAAAATCTTGATTATGCTAAGACACCTCTGGCCATGTCCATTCTGTTAGTCCACTTTGACTCCTTAACACCTTTAGATTAGAATAAAGTGCAAATGGCATCAGGGATCAGACCACAAATTTAATGTTGAAGATCCCAAGTATAGGTATTCCTTCTGGTTAGGGCTTGAGAAGAAAATTTGTGGCAAATCACTTGAAAAAATTAAATCTCTATATCTTAATGCATGAAGACAATACAAACAAATAATTGTCGTGCTAAACAAAGTAAATATTTGCTGGTTTACTGCTCAATCTTTCGGAATAAAATAGTGTTCACATTGTACTCTAAATTAATTTATTTGCAATTATGCCATTGCATCATGTCACACCTTGAATTTATTTGATGTGTCTGATTGTTCAACAGCATATACTTATATAATAAAATATTCACAAAATACTAACTACAATATTTCTTTGGTCTGCATTATCAACAAGCAGGTGCAAACCAATAGAAAGTCAGCCTGGTCTCCTTTGTTTCAGAATAATTAATGGGAAATAAAATTAACTATTTATTGATGCATTTATATTTTGAATAAAGCTACATCTAAGTTTCATTAAAACACTTATAGAAAATAACTGTTCACACTGCTGTCACTGAAAAAGTTCCTTTAAGCCTGCACCATGCATGATTTTTAGCCTGCAAGTCCATGTGAGACTGCTTCTGATTAATGCTAAGATTTGGCTTGTGAGTCAGAACACTGCAATCAGAAGCAGTTCTGAAGAGATTTGTCTTTAGCTTCCTACTAAAATATTTACCTAAAAGAAGGTAATGTGAAACAGAGGTATGGTTCCCATCTCGATACTGTTAAATTCAGTGTACATATTTCTATCCGCATTTGTAGTCTACCTTCAGTTGTTTATATTTGTGGAAAAGCTTAGCACAGACCAGGCAAGAACTCAGTCTGTGATTTCAAGTACCGTGGGCAGTAACATAGACTGAATGAGGGTTGTCCCTCTTCCTAAGCAATGTTTGGTATGAAGTCCAAGAAAATAGAAAATTGCTGCACAAAATGGTCAGAAGAAAATGTCCGTCAGAGGCTGGAAAGTCCCTCTGAAG